CTCCCCCCCCCCCCCCCCCCCCCGATGTCTCGACGCTCCCGGCCCGCTGTTGCTTTACCTGGATATTTAAAAATAAAGAATGAAAAGGTGAAAAGAAAAGAAAAAAACACAGACAACCGACCACTCCACAATCACGCTTTTACTATTCCGCTCCCCGACACCAGAAAAGAACGGCCAGGAACTTTGCGGCTCTCGCTGACGTAGCTCGGGCAGTAGCCCAGTTAGTACCGTAATCTCCTGCTGTTACCGTATTACTACGAGGCAACAGGCACACGTGCGCACGGCTGTGATTTGTTCCTCCTGCCCAGAGGGGGTTGGGTTCTCGCTTCTCTTTGAAAAGGTAGGGGTGGGTGGGTGCGTGTGCGTGTGCGTGTGCGTGTGCGTGTGTGTTTGTTTGTGGTAAATAACATCTTGAAATGGTCCGATTTTAAGAATAAAGAAAAACAGGCACCCTTGCCAGACATTGCGGTGTGTGTATGGTGTGTTCAGAGAAATCCTCGATGAAGAGACTCTCAACAGCTTGATTCGATTCACCCTGGGCCCAGGCTTTATTAAAATCACGAAGCGTATCGAGCATGTTGCTATGCCAAATATGTAGATAAATTATATTATTTGCAGGTGTTCTTAAAATCAAGCAGAATCAGATAAAATTTAATAAATCTTATTGTGATAGCATTACATTTCCAGGAAGATACAGTGAGCATATCTAAACCTTATTACAAGGGATCCACCTCTCATTTCTTCAAACAAATGGATTTTAAAAGCATTATGGTCCTGCTGCAGTATTACTTCTCTTTAATTTTCTTTGATTCATTAAGTTAGAGTACAAAAAGCTGGCACCACCAGTCTTATTTACTTTCTTTCTGGTAAATTCCATGCTCTGTTTACCTTATGATTAACTAAAGCCATATGTGTTTCAGAATATTGGGAACGTAGAAGAATTTTTCCCATTCCGATTCCCACCCCTCCCTCAAGCCATCTTCATTCACCTTTATTGATTCAGACAAACAGAATGTTCTTAAAGTGTTTACTAGGTTTCCTTAAACTTACTAACAAACTTTGGCAATAATATGCACTTAAATTCCCTTCCCCAAACAAGAATTTTATTAATATTATTACCTTTTCCAAGTGAGTTAAGGTTTAGGGACTCTTTCAAGGCAATACATTTCAAAATACCTCAGAGGAACGGAAGACTTAATATTTAGATTTCCTTCCCTTTTGAATGCAAATCCCACCCCCTCCATGTTTATAGTATAGTACCCACTACTAACCCACTTGGTTTGACTTTAACTTTATTTAAAAATTATATACACAGATGACTTGCATAAAATCCATAAACTGAGTTTTGTGCAGTGAGAGGAGCAGAGGGATGGAGCAGACAGCTCTCACTCCGCTTTCTGAGTCACCTGCCCTCTCTGGGATTCAGTACCGTCTGCTGGAGGGGACTGGACTACAATTCCCTGTCCTTCGCCTACCTTCTCGTCGAATATGTGTATAATGTCTGTTCTTCAGAAACCCCATTCAAGAGAGGTATGCATGATTTTTTTTTTTTTTTGAATTGAAGTCTCACTCTGTCACCCAAACTGGAGTACAGTGGCTGCTCCCGGCCACCGCAGCCTCGACCGGCTGGGCTCCAGCGATCCTTCCGCCTCAGCCTTCCAAGTAGCTAGAACTACAGGCGCGCGCTACCACGCCCGGCTAATTTTTTTGATTTATGATGAGGTCTTGCCAAGTCACCCAGGCGGGTCTCGAACCCGCAGGCTCAGGCAATCCATTCACCTCAGCCTCCCAAAGGCGCGGGATTACAGGCTGAGCCACCGAGCCCAGCTTGGTATGCATGATTTAGTTTTATGTTCATTGACCTGATGCCATGGATGCAAGCTCATTCGTTTCTGTTCCATAGTAGATAAGGGAAGTAGTGTTTTCAACAAGAAAAGCAACTGAAAATTGCTCAGCTCTGCCAGGTTGAAATCTATAATGGTCTCTGAAACTCCCAGTCCCCACCCTCTAACAATCGAGAATATACCCACTGGGCATGCTGGCTCATGCCTATAACCCCAGCACTTTGAGAGGCTGAGGTGAAAGGATCGCCTGTGTCCAGGGGTTCAAAACCAGCCTGGTCAACTTGGTGAGATCTCATCTCTACAATAAATCCAAAGATTAGCCAGGCTTGGTGGCCAGCGCCTGTCGTCCCAGCTACTCGGGAGGCTGAGGCGGAAGGAGCTCCTGAGGCCAGCAGGTCTAGGCTGAGGTAGTCTTGATCATGTCACTGCACTCCAGCCTTGGTGACAGAATAAGACCGTGACTCAAAAAGAAAAAAAAAATACACTCAATCCATTCCCCTCCCCTTCACTTCTAACAACTAACTAGCTAATGCCAAGACTGAGAAAAACAGCAAGTCAGACTGCTTCCAGGTAGGTCTTTCAAATCTACTTCTTAGCTTGTGAACATCAATCTTTGCAAAACTAATTCTCAGAACCAATTTTTCAGTCACCAGCCATCGACTCACAAACAGAAAACGACTCATCTGTTGGTTACTCTTTAAAGACTGATTGACATGGATGTCCCAGAAGGTGTCTGAGTCATGTGGGTAGGTGGAGTGAAGACAAAGTCAGCTGTTTTTTGTTTTTGTTTTTGTTTTTTGAGTTGGAGTCTCAATCTGTCACCAGACTGGAGTGCAGTGGCCGCTCCCGGCCACCGCAGCCTCGACCTGCTGGGCTCTGATGATCCTTCCGCCTCAGCCTTCCAAGGAACTGGAATTACAGGTGCGCCCTACCATGCCCGGCTCATTTTTTTGATTCATTGTAGAGATGAGGTCTCGCCAAGTTGCCCAGGTGGGTCTCAAACCCATGGGCTCAGGCAATCCACTCACCTCAGCCTCCCAAAGCGCAGGATTACAGGCTGAGCCACCGAGCCCAGCTCAAAAGTCAGCTGTGAAGTCACTAAGATGCTGTCCCTACCTACCCTCCTATGAGACCACGGCAAAACTCGGTTCTTCTGAGCATTAGTTTCCTAATTTTTAGAGGAAGACAAGGAAACCTTATAAGGTTGTGATTAGGATTGACTGAAATTATATTTCTCAAAAATGCAGCTCATAATGCTTATTAACTTTTTATTATTAATCTTATTATACATTCTTTTTCTTTCTGCTCCTTTTGTATGTTACTTTAAAGTGAAATACACTTCTAACCCAGAGTAGTGCC